TACCTTACTTTTGCCTAGAAGATCTCAATTCTCTCTTTTCTCATTTCCACTTTATATGTTCTTTGGTAAATGACAGGGAGGAATGCTTGCATGTTTGTAGCTTGATTTAGGACATTTATGTGAACTAGATGGTACAAATTTCTCATTTAAATACTTCAATATATGCTGTATTTTTCATTGATTTAGCAAGGAAACTTCACAGAAGTGAAGGTTATCATGTTATCTATGACTAGCCAGTGAAACCTGGCTTCTTATTTGTACTTTGGAACATGTGAACAAGCTGCAATAGGTTAAAGGAGTCAGGGCTTTAGAGGTTCAGTTGCTCTTTGATTACACCATAGTAAATGTGCCCCTTATGTTCCTGTGCATTTTTCATTACACTGTAGAGATGTGGGGAGCTTGGTTCTGAAAGAGAGAGACTAGATGCAGTGCAGAAGCTTGAAGAAATAAGAAAGAATAACAGACAGAAAATTAGAAATAACAGGATCAAAAATAAATGAGAAAAATGACAGTATGGTTATATATTAGATATCTCTATACATATGTAGATAAATATTAATGGGAAGGAAAAGCTTCTATTTCTAAAAATATTTTTCATATTACATATGTATTTGGCAGAACTTCTGATTCTTCCATCTTTAATGAGAATCCAAGTCTGTGTACAGGATCTTTGTAAGTAATGTTCTACCTCTATTCCCTACTGCTATTATTTTTCTCCTTGAAATTCCCATGGGTTATGTATTATGTTTTTATTCTGTCTTTTGAATTTTTTTGATAAGAAGCCCTTCTGGCTTTTCCTGGATTAATTTAGATTTCTCATCTAATAGTTAACATTTTACATGCAGTTCTTTTCATCTTCAAAACCCTTTCCAAGACATTATCTAATAATCCCCACAACACCCCTGTCAAGTAAGTAAATTAGTATAATGATGTATTTTACAGATGGAAAAATGGGAGCAGAAAAGTTAAGTGATTCAGTCACAAATATGGTAGGTATCAAAGCTGAAATTAAAATTTACTGCTTCTGGATTATTGGTCCTGCATTCAGGTAACTAGACCATGCTGCTTTCTTATGTGTAAAAATATAATGATCACTTGCTCCTAAATTTTCTTATTTTGAAATTCTTGGTCGGCTTTTAACAAGTAGGAATAGGCTTGTAAGTAATTTGGCGCAGTTTTAAAAACTTATTAAAGACAAGCCTGTTCACTAGAAGGGGTTTCTGGAGTTTTTCCAGATCTACTGAGACCATTTTAAGATCCTCATGCAGTATAAAGGATCTCTTAATTATTCTACCATTCATCTTACAATAGCACATACAGTGCGCTGCATTAAATGTAATGTTACTTTCAGCAATCTCATGGGGAAATAAAGTAACAGTGAGATGTATACAGAATGAGAGAAACACAGAAGGAACTACATTTTAAGTAATCAACATTCATTTTAGGAAAACTTCAAAAAGCCTAGGTTAAATAATAGGAAAGAATGGGGCTGGTCAAATAGAAAGTTAGTAGATTTACTGTAGTCTGATATGCTCAGCAATACTACTCATGCTTTGCTTTGTGGTTTCAGTCTTATACTAGTAAATACATTTTACAGAATTTGTCAGGAAGTATGCAAAGGATGGTATAGCAACTTATATAGCATAGCTTAACTCCCTCTAAATCCCCAGTAAATCACTGTTGGATATGCATACATACCTATGGAACAATCATATCTATTGTTTCTGGACAGCCTTTCCATTTTTGTCCTTACCCATGAAGTGCTTATGTTAGTTACATCAGTGTAGGTTTTGCTTTATACTGCAGGGGAGAGAGACAGTCATAATTCCAGCATGTTTTTTAGAAAATGTCTTTGCTTTGTACTCACTATTTAGATCTCACGTATTTTAAGATTTTATTGCTTGGAAAGAGCTGTAAAGCTTTTCCCTTCCTCCTCCTGCCCCAGCAGAAAAACAGTCCTTCTAAGTTACAAAGCTACTCGGCAACCTAAAACAGCCTCTCCTTCCCAGCACCATCCTCACCCTCCCCTTCACCCCCACATACTATACTTTAAATATAGCCTTGAATGCTTGCCAGCTGCTTACCCAGTCTTCACAGAGAAGTCTGCAGGGGAATCATCTTTCTGCCTTCATTTGGAAGCAGCGAGGAAATAATCATGGGGCAGTGGAGGAAATTTCATATTTTGAGCACTATTATTTAATTCAATCTCCTCTTTGCTCACTTGGCCAGACAGCCAATCCACCATGAAATGCTCATGTAAGAGATTTTGTAACTTGGTGAGGTTAAAAGGAATCCATATTGAGTCTCTAGGGACTCGAGATGAAGATGGCTTATTCCATAAACTTCTTTAGGTGTCCAAATAAAACTACGATAGAAATTCTGGACTGACTTATGGTAGTTCTGTTAGATCAGTAAAGGGGTTTGGACTGAAGCAATTGCTTTCCTTTCAGGATGCGGGGGAATTGAGTTAAGGGGTCCAATGGCAAAGTGATTCAATGATAGGGAGTATTAGGGAAAATTCATCTTAATGGATGGATACAACTGTAAATTTATTAGAAATATTAGTCATATATGTGAACTAGACATAGACAAAAACTGACAATTGTTGATCTTTCTTATGTTTTGTAAAATTTCATTGAACAAATTTTGGCTTTTACTTGTGGCTCAGATTGGTTCAATGACTATTTTAGAGGAATATATTTCTATATATTACTGTCTATAGGTTACTAGTGAACTATTTGCCGTGGATTAAATTCTTTCCATTTAGGTGAATAGGAATAAGCCAAAAGGAAATTTGATCCTATGTATCCAACTGTTCAGCAGCTATTCACTATTTGGTATTTCTGGTGTGTGATTGACATCAAGTGTAAGCCATATTCTGTGCTGAGTCAGTGTTGGTGGGATATCAATGAGAATTCATGATGGCCACCCAAGAAGTTTTGGAGGCAACCATACTAAAGGCACGTGCATGCAAGTATTTGGAAGTGTTTTGCTTTCCACAAGCACTGTGGTGAAAAAATATATATGAATCTAGCATGGGAAATGAGAACATGGCATATACTATTAGCATGAAACTGCAATTCCAATTAATGTTTCTAAATATTAGCCCACTTCACTGCAGCTGCTTTGTTAATCTCCTAGCTGCAGGGTTGCACAGGTGCTGTGGCTGACCCCAGATGCTTGACACCTCTTCTCTTCTCTAGCTGAGCTGAGTGGGTAGCAGCTGCAGAGTCAGGTAAGGGCCCACCAAGCAGATACAATACGAAACTCTGCCCTGGCACCCAGAGCTCTGCTTCAGAAAACCAATTTCTGCAGCTTAAGCCTCTGCCAGGGTACAAAGAGTAGCAACAGATGTTGCATTTGTTCTGGTACAATTTGTGCCCCCGTTTGTCCAAAACAGAAAAATCCTAGGATTGACACATGTATGCATTGCCCTTCCACTCAAGGTTTAGGAAGTGGCTGAATGCAGTACCACTTTTCAGCCATCAATTCAATGATTCATTCCCAGGCAAAATTCAGACATGCTTCAAAGTGTCCCAGGACAACATGCTAACACTTCTTATCCCATGAATCTTTTTAGGGTTTGATCTGGGATAATGGACATAGATGTCTGAACAATTGCACTTTGTTTCAAGATAAAATGGTTTCTCTTAGGACAAATGCAATGTCTGCTTGTGGCTAAGTGAGAAACTGGGGAGCCCTGAATGCTCATTATATAGCAATACTTTCTCTTTCCCCCAACAGAGGCTCAAGCTGCAGAAGCTTTCCATAGTTCCTTGCTTAAAATGTATGCTCCAGAATGCAATTTCCAGAAACTGTTTTTTTGCGGGGGGAAAGGTGCATGCTGTATGTGAGGGAACATAGTATTCAAAAATATTGAAATGGACTGAAGAGATGAGGCAGTCCTGGAGCTCCCAGGTGTGTGTGAGGATTGGACACGCTCAATCTCACCTTTGGATATTGGAGCATGCTTTATTTTCTATACCCTATTAATTCACATAATGTGTAGGAGAATGCTACTTCAATCTGCTATTTCAATCTGAACAAAGTGAGCCCCTTGGAGGAATCATTTCTGTGCTGCCTAGAGTGCAAGACCTGAGTTGTTTTTGGATCTTTCAGAGACAAACCTTTGCCCCTTCTATAAGGACAGGAACCAACTGCCTGATACTTCAGTCATCTTTTACTGCCTTGAAATTTTCATGAAAAGCAATGGAATGCTCTTCAGACTATGCATGTAACAGCAAGCACATGGTTTACTACAAAGGTCAAGAACTAGTCCATCCTAATAACGTCACAGAACTTAATGGAGAAGACCTATTAGGTCATCTAGTGCATTGCCTTCCCAGTGCAGGATTGTTCTCAATAGTATATTTTCCAGTGCTTTGTTCAGACTGTTTGAAGGACTCTCAGGGTTTATTGTCTTGGCATTCTGACAGTACACACTATATTGCACTTCCTGATTGTTTTAGAAGTACAAGGGAAAAAGTATATGAATTCCACATACCCTAAGTACCTGACACTGAAACAGAAACATGTTAACAAATTACTTAGAATTATGGAACATTTTAACTAAAAGTGCGAAAATACACAAGGGCAAAGCATAACTATAGAAGATGAACTTTTGCAGCTGACAGTTTTTTAAAGCTGGATTAACATTTATGTTCCTAATAAACTGTGTCTATTTTTTTTTTAGCTGAAGTAAATTTTATATTTCTCCTGTCTCTCTCCCCTTCCCACTTCTATCTGTCTGTCCTCCATGTCTTTACATATGACATTTATATAACAGCATACTATTTCTCTCCCTTTGGACTACCCTTGCCTACTGCTTCCTTACCTTTTATTCCTTGGCACCCCATATTTTTTGTGGTCTGTCTCTCTTCTCCCTCCCATTCCCCACTAACCAGTTTCTTTTCTGTCTTTGTGTCTGTCTTTCATCCCTGGACTTTTAACTTATTTTTTTACACCATCATTTCCTCTTCCTCAATACAGAAAAGGAATGTAGTTTTGCATTCAGGTTTTTCAACGTAATACTTTTGGTGTCTGTAATTTTCTTCGTGGCCTAGAGCAGGGGTTGTCAACCGAGGGTACATGTACCCCTGAGGGTACTTTGTAATGTCCCAGGGATTACGTGGGGACGTGTGGAGACAGAGCGCTGCCACCACCCTGCGCCGCAGTCTCAAAGGAGCAGGGCTGCGGCAAGGCAAGAGCAGGGCCACACAGACACTGTGCTGCCGCCACTCCACCTCTTGCCATGCCCCTGCTTGGCATCAAGTTGCTCACCACCCCTCCCCCTGCCCACTCAGCATCCGGCCGCTCCCCATCCCCCTTCTCCCCACTCACCATCCAGCCGATAACTCCCCCCCCGGGGGTACACTTACTAAAAAGGGGGTACACTTACTTTAAAAAGTTGAAAAACCCTGGCCTAGAGCATTGTCTTTTCATTTAACAAAGAACTCGACCTGGATATCTCTGTCCTCTCAGTTTTATATTTAGAGACAAGGAAGAACAGCAGTTCCTTCTCTACCTTATTTGTATCATTCATTATTTTATATACTTTTATCTTGTCCTTTCTTTTTAATTATTGCATCAGTGAAAGTCAGCTATTGGATGTTCATGATGCAAAAGGAAACAGCTGTATTCCAAACCACTATAAAGAGATTTCTGGCAGGAAA